CAAAATATCATTTGGTTCAGTTAAAGACATTGGTGAACCTGAAAAGTTAGCACATTGTAGTCAGGGATGTCTAAGGGTTGCCATGATCATCAAAGCAAAGCATTAGTATCATCCATAACTGTTAGTGAGGTGAAGACCCCCTGTGTTGAACAAAGTGAAACTGCTGTCCTAGTCTTAGAGGCAACAGCAGGGAAAAGTTGGAAGGTACGGCCAAAAACAGAAGATACTTGATACACAATTTCACGAAGGAAGTAACTAAGGACCAATTCAAACGCAATGAGGGAAACTAGAACTTTTCCTTGAATATCTTTAAATTTGGTACAAAGTCATGTGAACTGTGAAGTTTAAACAGGGCCTGACTTACATTAACTCCAACTTCTGCAGAAACTGAAACTGTTTACAATTCTTGTTTGCGTCCCCACATCCCGTATATCATATCCTCACATCCCTCATCTCATGTCCTTGAGTCCCATGCCCCTGTCCACACATCCCAATGTCCCCGTTCCCGTGTCACAGTCCCATTTTCATACACAGCCAGACCACAACTGAAAAAGCTGCATCTAAAACAGCAATGACCTATCTTCTTGTGTTAAATGAACTTTATGATATTTACAGTAATAGCTTGATAGGACATACATATTTCAACCCAAATATGTTGTGTAATGACAAATGGTCAATCAGTAACTCAATCAGTAAATGAACTGTCTCAAGTACATTGTATGTATGTGCAGTGTACAGACTGTATGTACCTGGTCAACTTGACTTTCATCTTCAGAGAATGTGCTTATCTGACCCACATTAGCTACACTCTGCAAGCCGCTTGAAAATGTAGCATCCCCATGTAACTGATCACTTTCTTTTGAGACTGTTGTCACCTCAAAGTGTATTGCATCTGAACGTTTTCTAACTCTTCCAGCACCTTTTTCACCCAGTGAAGCTTCTTGTTTGACTGAAACTGGTTCCTTGGGAAGGCCCTGATTCCTCTGGGCCTGTAACCTGTTGAAATCTCTTCTAAAAAGAGTTGTCCTGTAGTTTCCCATTGATGACCTAGGACCATTTTTTGAAGGTGGATGAGGTGCCATCTGCTGGAAAGTTTCAAAATTCAAAATTAAGTAAATATATAAATAGGTGCAAACTTTCCTCACTTGTGGCCAGTGGCTGAATTGTCAGCAAGTAAAGGTACTCTATTCAGCTACTTTATCCATATTTGATCTCACCCCACCCACCTAGACCAATAACAGCAAAAGTCAGATAGACCACAACACCAAGGCCTATGTACCCTTATCCTGTCAAACAATCTAGAGAGTTCTTTTTACGTCTCCTTCTAACAAAAAATGTTCTTTAAGAATGAAAAGACAAGGGTAACCGCTTGACATCATCGCCCAACAATGTGATCAACTCAACTGAGAAGGGGTTTCAATCACAGCTTCCATGACCCAAACAGTTATTATGAAAGACCTTGGTTCCATGACCTCAACAGTTATTCTGAAAGACCTTGGTTGGTGGTAAGCAAAGGCCAGGATTTGAACTCATGGCCTCCTGTTCAGCAGACTGGAACTAGTCCAGCCGTTTTCTGATTACTGTCGTGTTATAAAGAGCTAAAACTTACCATAAAGCCATTTACAAGTTGCACACTTTGTGGCCTTCTGATCTAAATGCCAAATATTAGCTTGCAAAGTTTGGGCATGTGCAGAAAGCAAAATTTTGAGATAGTTGTTGTGTTTAAAAGTGACAAAGCAGTCTTGCCTTTTACTTTCTGCTTTCTCTTCTCCCCACTTTTTTTGCTTTTCTTCCCTTGATCTTTTCCTTTTGCTGGGTCTTTAGTGGCTTCATTTTAGTCGGAAAAGTTTTTAGGAAAGCTTTTAGTATTTTAGAATTAGATGAAAGGAATGATAGGCAATTTTCATGCAAATTTTCAATTCAATGTTACACGCCTTTTTGCCTTTTTCTCCGGTGTCCCTGCAGAATTGAGCTCGTTCTAGTATGGTTTGAAAGATCTCTTCACTCTGCACAAGTTAGCGGACAAAGTTGTCCTTGACCATGAAAATTAATGATGTCACAAGGGGTAGAAGGGACATGGTTCCACACAGGCAGTTACACAGTCAGGCGGCTCAGGGGCGAATGGGTTATGTAGTTTTGAGTCTCCATACAATCATTAATTATCAACTGATTATTATTGTTTAATTGTTATAATTAATTTTTCTGAATGTCCATCGAATATTTCTCTTATTGATAAAATAAAAACTTCTGCATCCTATGAGGTATAGAAAAAACCTAAATTGAGTAAAAATTTATGTGTACCTCTTTGAGTGTGTGCTAGCTTTCATCAATATTTAATATTTTACATTTAATATTTATCAATATTGTGCTAGGCCGGTGCGTATAACCTAGTCACCCATGTTTTGTTCAGAGGAAGTCAATCTTGGCCATTTTGGGGGGACAATAATTCGAGTTTGGTGGAATTTGACCTTGTCAAAACCTGTATGCCTTTACCCGAGAATTCTTTACATTGTGCACGCTTTTTCCTATGCACTCCTGCAACAGCCTTATACATTATAGACTTGCCACAAGTTGATCTCACAAGTTTAGGGTGAGCTTATTAGGTCACAAAGTGGCTGAGCGAATGAGAAGTCCACTTGTCTTGCTTGAGGGGTTTCATTTGCGTTTCGCGCCAAAAATGGGGAGTGGTGTGACTCATTTTAGGTTTCAGGTTTCATTTGTGAGTCCATAACTTCAATGGCAGTATGCGAAAGAGAAAACTAATATTATAACAACTATTTTGTGCTATAATTGTGCAGACCAGAACAAAAACCTTGTTTGCAATTGTTGAGAATCACCGTGGGAGTTCCAAACACTAGTATCTCTTCCTGATTTAAAATAGCAATCACCTCCTGCATCTGATGCTCTGATGCCATGGGAAAAAAAGAGAAATCAGCAGAACAATCACCAACACGGTGACATTGCAATCCTCCTCAAACATAAAAAATGATCAAAAGCATATGGACTAAGTACAAAAGTCAGACTTTCCCAACTCCAAATAGAGCAGACACAAAAACATCTCTCCCCGACAGATGACAAGATACAAGCCAGGTATGTTTCCATTGTTATCCTGTGGCCTCGAGGGCATCTTACGCTGTCACATTAATCAACCCCACGTTGTTCCCAACATTAGATTTCAACAGCAAGTCAAGTTCCAATGCCCTTTACTTTCTTGTAAGAGACAATAGTAATTAAATTGTCTCTTACAAGAAAGTAAAGTAAATAAAGTAAATTATTCCCCAGGGGTCCTGAGGAGCTACTCTGATTGGTCTAAGTGCTGCAACCCCTTTTCTGTTCACTAACACTGGCACCAGTCAAGTATGAAAAGTCCTTTGCCTAGCCTGCGGTGCAGCCGGCCCACGTATCGCATATAGTGTGGATATAGTCCGAATCGGACATAAGTTATTCAGGTATTCACAAGCAAATATCCACGATAAATCGATTTCAAAGCATTCAGATGCAAATATGCAAATATGCAAATCGCCTGGACATCGTCACAAAATCGCGTGACGATCTGGCGCCAAAATCAGACCAATCACAAAGTGCGTAATAAACTAGCGGCTCTCTAGCCAATCAAAGACGCTCACATATGTCCTTGCGACTCTGCGGGATTCGAACACGATATTGTGCACTAATTCGCAGACGCTATAAACAAGGTTTAAAGGGTCTGCGCGCAGGCTATCCTTTGCCCTGCACCATATTAATTCAGACAAAGGACTTTTTTGAAAGTCTATGCATGTTAGTATGAAAAAATTACCTCTCTGAGGTTACCTTCACTGACATGAAAACAGCCCTTCAAAGGAGAAACAAATCTGCATGTAAACCAATTACACCATTTTTACATCATTCCAACCGGCTTTACCTGGCATAAAGAAATTACTTATCCGGAAATGGCACCTTACACAGAACCAGCAACATCTGAGAGAAATTCCCTTCACATGATATCCCAAGGGAAATTTCTTAACAGCAAGTTGAAGAATGAAGCCTGAAAACCCTCCAGTGTTTTTTCGCGATTTTCACTCGAAAATTATCCTCAGTCACCCTTTCCAAATGCCTCTCTGAAACTTAACAATGCTGCTGTGTCAATCTAGAAAGTGGCGTGTCATGTTTCCATGACATCAATATCCCGCTCATTTATGAAACCGGATCAATTTTCTTACCATGAATCCTGAATCAAAGCAACCCCTAGTAAGAACTCCGAACTAATATCAATTTCTAAATGTGACTTTCGGAGATAAGAATTATTGTTACGTTTCTAACATAAGCTTACGTACCTGAGAAGACTGTCCGTAAGATGGCGGGACAGGACGAAATATCGCTCGAAACACCTCAGAGTTCTCAGGTCTGTCATACAAGCGCAACTTAAGAGAATCAATTGCGGCTCGTCCATCACGAATGTCTTTTTTCAGTGGATTGTTATGCTGGGAAGCAAAGTTCTCTCTGTGTTCTCTTTTTGACCGGCCAGCAGTCCCTGTAGGAGATGCAGCATGCAAACAGCAGTCCACAACTGAATTGTGCGGGACGATGGGGTTTGACTCGTCTGTGTCGTCCATCTACGCCTGTGAACAGTCCTCTAATGACAGCGTCGGTGCTTTTTTTAAAGGAGGAATGGTTTCATTCATTTTCCTATTTTTTTCACTAAAAAGTTCCAGAAGAATGACTTTTAAGCTCAATGAAACTTTCTGTTTACAATTTCCCGCAACATTTTTCTGGCTGCAAAAAGGCTGCAGTAAGAAGTGAAAACTAACAAGTGCTCTGATTGGTTTACGTAGAAATCCCGCTTCTTGATATAAAAGCTAATATCATTGGTTGAATATAAAGTTTGGTACCCAGTGATTCCCGTTCGAGAAAGTAATGGCGGCGGTCCAGAACCAGGCAACAAGCAACAATGGTTAAAAACGTTAAAGTTGCCCTGAAGAAACTTTACAGTCATGTCAAAGCAAAAATGGGATGATTCGAGTATGGATTCAGAGATATACGACATTGCAAGAGGGTTGTATGATTCCAAAGTTAACATAAAAAGGCCACCAAGTGCGGCCCAACACAGTGTTTACACAACCAGTTTTAGGGGGCCCCCGCCTTGTCTCCCCCAAGTTCATGCAAAAGAAAAGAAAAGAAGACCTTATAGTGCAAAGGGGAGGATAACATCAGACACATCAGAAGTAGTAGGCAAACCAAGATTGCCTTGGAGACCATTCTCTGGACATGCTGCCCTCAATCGACCCACTTTCTTGGCGGACGATGATTGTGACACCAATGTCAACAAGAAGGTGACCAAGAAGGTACAATTAATAAATATCAACACTGCTTCACAGGAGCAAGAGCCTCTCAGTGACTTAACAGCGTTACCAAAAGTATATCATAACAGGTCTTTACCTAAAAGTCTTTTGAGTCTGAGTCAGTGGCTTACAGATGATATTCCTGATGACTGGCCCTCTTGCTATCAGCCGCAACACAGTTTTGTGTTTCTTCCTTGTGTTACTGCAGGAGAGTGTGATGGTTTGCCTGGTGTTCCACCAGTTCAGCAACCCGAGGATTCGCTGATATACAATCCTGCACCGCAACNAAAGAAGACCTTATAGTGCAAAGGGGAGGATAACATCAGACACATCAGAAGTAGTAGGCAAACCAAGATTGCCTTGGAGACCATTCTCTGGACATGCTGCCCTCAATCGACCCACTTTCTTGGCGGACGATGATTGTGACACCAATGTCAACAAGAAGGTGACCAAGAAGGTACAATTAATAAATATCAACACTGCTTCACAGGAGCAAGAGCCTCTCAGTGACTTAACAGCGTTACCAAAAGTATATCATAACAGGTCTTTACCTAAAAGTCTTTTGAGTCTGAGTCAGTGGCTTACAGATGATATTCCTGATGACTGGCCCTCTTGCTATCAGCCGCAACACAGTTTTGTGTTTCTTCCTTGTGTTACTGCAGGAGAGTGTGATGGTTTGCCTGGTGTTCCACCAGTTCAGCAACCCGAGGATTCGCTGATATACAATCCTGCACCGCAACTTAAAAAATATAAGCCTCCAAAACCAAGATTTAAACACTTGTATGATGGTGAAGCCAAAGAAAGAAAACAATGTTGTCATAAGGGTTCCAGGCTCAACCAGGGACCTTCACATGCAGTTAGTGTGATTGATGATAGATATAAGGGAATGCGGACAGTAGATATCATTAGACAAGAGATTGAGGACCTTGAAAGACTTTTGGAGGGAATTGGAAACCCGACAGGTTCATCTGTAGTGGTTCGATATCAGCATGATATCAATCATCTAAGGAACATGCTTCAGACAACCCTTGATGGGTGTGAATTAGATGATAGTACCCCACAGTGTTTGACTCCAGTGGCTGTGTGTTTCCAAGAAGATCTGATTAGGTATCCCGACCAACATGAACAGATTTTTAAAACTATAAAGCAACGTAGAGATCAGTGTGTTCAAGAGCTAGCAGATATTGAGCATGAGATCATGGAAAATGATACTTGATTGATACCACTTTACTATGCATGGCAAATTAAACTTTTTGTCCTATTCAGTTGTCCATTTGGACATGTGCGATGTGTATTTCACTTCCTTTCACCATAAAACTACCTACTCCAAAAATACCAACATAAAGAGCAATATGGTGTTTGATAAAATTGTAATTTTCTATTTGAGGGTTTTTTTTTTCTCATTTTAACAGCTGTGTCCCAAATTATTTTGTGAAAAAACTCAAAGATAAGAACATTGACTAAAGATGTTAATATTATTATTATGCAACTTTCAACACAATGAGGAGTGTTTTCAAAATATCAAAAATTATGTGAAAAAAATTCCTCTTACTTTCTTCAATATAAAAAGGAAAAGGTGCACAAGAGCTAAAGGCCAAAAAGGCTGGAGCTTATCCCAGTTTCCTTAGCATGAAGCATGCCTAGGAGTATTGCTACTCCCCCACCTCAGGATAGGATGTTAGTCCATCGCAGGGTTACCCCCCAGCATTATGTCACCCATACCCATTTATCTACCTGGGTGAAGAGAGACAAAGTGGAGTAAAGTTCCTTGTCTAAGGAAACAATGCGACAGGCAAGGCTTGAATCCCAGACTTCCAGATCTGGAGTTTGATAACCGCTCCGCCACACACGCCTCAACCTTCCGTTAATTCACATGAAAAGAGTCAAGTAGCTCAGTTTGAGACATGGGATTACATAATACCTGTATATGTTGAAGTTAATTTTTACGTCAGGTAATTTTTGTTTTTCTTTTGTTTGTGGGTATGGTAATGTATGCTAATGAAGTTGAAACAAAAGAAAAAGAAAAATTACCCGAGATAAAAAATTATCCACAACATACATATATGTTTTGTGATACAGAAAGTACATGATGTGCTGCATGGAAGTTTTTCTGTACTGCATGGCTTACCAGGATGTGGTAACTCATGGACCTACTCATCCCAACTTGGAGGCTAGAACAGACTAATACCCCTCATCTTCCAAACCTCACATCCCCTCTTCACGCTTTGACTATGCATCTGACTTAGTGAACCACCTATCCCCAGTCAAAAACTATTGACCGTATTGTGAACTCCTAACGTAGTACATATGCACCTCTTCCCCTCTCTTTTAAGATTGGCATAAATCTTCAGATCATATCATGCAAAAGGCAAATTCAATAATTTTTTTATTATATTATTTTATTAATCATTAAGAATAATTCATACTTTATAAACAAACTGGCCTGACCATTCCACCCATAATGAAAATTTCACTTATTATCAGAATTGTTTAGCCAGATTGGTCAATTCCCAGATAATATGCATGGGTTGATGGGTTTTAAAGCAAAAACTCTTAAAAAAAGCCTACTTCATTTTCAAAGTGACCCCTCTGGCTGGCCTGTTCTGACTTTTGGAAAGCATGCCTTAAAGGCAAGATTAACTCAACTGATGTAAACTTCCTGTCTCATTTGACAGTTCCTTAGAGAAATTATTGGATGTTGCAAACATCTTCCAAAGGATACTGCTTTAGACAGGCCAAATGAAGATGAGTCTTGAAATAAGATATCTACATTGGAAAAGTAAAGTCTTTCAAGACACGCTGGCAAAGTTGTGTAGAAGGATTTTTCTTGTAACAAGAACAATACAGATCCTGTTTGTTAGAATGGATAAAATCAATTGTTTAAGGTGGCTCAGTCATTAATACAGGCGCATTTAGCAGTGAAACTTTGCAAAGAATTACAGATATTATTCGGCAATAATACAAAATAACAAAACAATGAAATTACCTGTCCTGAAAATTAAAACTGTTGTCGTGGCTATCTCAGGTAGGAATTTGTTATTGAAATTCCACAACCATGTCACTGCTGAATTTTGACCGACTTTTAGTTACAGACTTCAGCTTCAACAATTCTTCTCAAATTTGTGTAGCATATTATTTTATTATGTCAATAAAAGTTGATAACAGAAATTTCATAAAAAATATCAGCAATTTTCTTTACTAGAAGCAATTTTCTTTGAACAGTAGGGTCCTGTTAAGTGCTAATTTCCCCCCCAAATATTTACCATCAATGAAATCGGAATGTTTCATATTACTGCTAAATGATATCTGCTGTTCTTTGCAAAGTTTCGCAGCCATTGCGTTGAAAACAAAAAAATTATGACGGAAAGTCAGTCATAGCTCAATGCTCCTGTATTAATGACAGAGCCACCTTTATCCATGACTCCAGTTCACAAATGGCTGAATGATAAGCAGTCTTGTCAAAAGAAGACCTTATAGTGCAAAGGGGAGGATAACATCAGACACATCAGAAGTAGTAGGCAAACCAAGATTGCCTTGGAGACCATTCTCTGGACATGCTGCCCTCAATCGACCCACTTTCTTGGCGGACGATAGTTATCGGGATAGTTATAACACCAATGTCAACAAGAACGTACAATCAATAAATATCAACACTGCTTCACGGGAACAAGGGCCTCTCAGTGACGTAACAGCGTTACCAAAATTATATCATAACAGGTCTTTACCTAAAAGTCTTTTGAGTCTGAGTCAGTGGCTTACAGATGATATTCCTGATGACTGGCCCTCTTGCTATCAGCCGCAACATAGTTTTGTGTTTCTTCCTTGTGTTAATGCAGGAGAGTGTGATGGTTTGCCTGGTGTTCCACCAGTTCAGCAACCCGAGGATTCGCTGATATACAATCCTGCACCGCAACTTAAAAAATATAAGCCTCCAAGACCAAGATTTAAACACTTGTATGATGGTGAAGACAAAGAAAGAAAACAATGTTGTCATAAGGGTTCCAGGCTCAACCAGGTACCTTCACATGCAGTTAGTGTGATTGATGATAGATATAAGGGAATGCGGACAGTAGATATCATTAGACAAGAGATTCGGGACCTTGAAAGACTTTTGGAGGGAATTGGAAACCCAACAGGTTCGTCTGTAGTGGTTCGATATCAGCATGATATCAATCATCTAAGGAACATGCTTCAGACAACCCTTGATGGATATGAATTAGATGATAATACCCCACAGTGTTTGACTCCAGTGGCTGTGTGTTTCCAAGAAGATCTGATTAGGTATCCCGACCAACATGAACAGATTTTTAAAACTATAAAACAACGCAGAGATCAGTGTGTTCAAGAGCTAGCAGATATTGAGCATGAGATCATGGAAAATGATACTTGATTGATACCACTTTACTATGCAGGGCACATTAAACTTTTTGTCCAATTCAGTTGTCCATTTGGACATGCGCGACGTGTATTTCACTTCCTTTCACCATAAAACTACCTACTCCAAAAATACCAACATAAAGAGAAATATGGTGTTTGATAAAATTGAAATTTTCTATTTGAGGGTTTTTTTTCTCATTTTAACAGCTGTGTCCCAAATTATTTTGTGAAAAAACTCAAAGATAAGAACATTGACTAAAGATGTTAATATTAGTATTACCGGGGTATGCAACTTTCAACACAATCAGGAGTGTTTTCAAAATATCAAAAATCATGTGAAAAAAAATTCCTCTTGCTTTCTTCAATATAAAAAGGTAAAGGTGCACAAGAGCTAAAGGCCAAAAAGGCTGAAGCTTATCCCAGTTTCCTTAGCATGAAGCATGCCTAGGAGTATTGCTACTCCCTCAACCCCAGGATAGGATGCTAGTCCGTCGCAGGGTTACCCTCCAGCAGTATGTCACCCATACCCATTTATCTACTTGGGTGAAGAGAGACAAAGTGGAGTAAAGTTCCTTGTCTAAGGAAACAATGCGATGGGGAAGGCTTGAATCCCAGACTTCCAGATCGGGAGTTTGATAACCGCTCCGCCACACACGCCTCAACCTTCCATAAAGTCACATGAAAAAAGTCAAGTAGCTCAGTTTGAGACATGGGATCACATAATACCTGTATATGTTGAAGTTAATTTTTACCTCAGGTAATTTTTGTTTTTCTTTTGTTTGTGGGTATGGTAATGTATGCTAATGAAGTTGAAACAAAAAAAAAATAAAAATTTCCTGAGATAAAAAATTATCCACAACATACATATATGTTTTGTGATACAAAAAGTACATGATGTGCTGCATGGAAGTTTTTCTCTACTGCATGGCTTACCAGGATGTGGTAACACATGGACCTACTCATCCCAACTTGGAGGCTAGAACAGACTAATACCCCTCATCTTCCAAACCTCACATCCCCTCTTCACGCTTTGATGCAGCAAACTATGCATCTGACTCAGTGAACCACCTATCCCCAGTCAAAAACTACTGACCGTATTGTGCACTCCTAACGTAGTACATATGCACCTCTTCCCCTCTCCTTTAAGATTGGCATAAATCTTCAGATCATATCATGCAAAAGGCAAATTCAATAATTTTTTTATTATATTATTTTATTATTCATTAAGAATAATTCATACTTTATAAACAAACTGGCCCGACCATTCCACTCATAATGAAAATTTCACTTATTATCAAAATTGTTTAGCCAGATCGGTCAATTCCCAGATAATATGCATGGGTTGATGGGTTTTAAAGCAAAAACTCTTTAAAAAAAGCCTACTTCATTTTCAAGTGACCCCTCTGGCTGGCCTGTTCTGACTTTTGGAAAGCATGCCTTAAAGGCAAGATTAACTCAACTGATGTAAAGTTCCTGTCTCATTTGACAGTTCCTTAGATAAATTATTGGATATTGCAAACATCTTCCAAAGGATACTGCTTTAGACAGGCCAAATGAAGAGGAGTCTTGAAATAAGATATCTACATTGGAAAAGTAAAGTCTTTCAAGACACGCTGGCAAAGTTGTGTAGAAGGATTTTTCTTGTAACAAGAACAATACAGATCCTGTTTGTATTGCGATTTTACCACCCTGTTAGAATGGATAAAATCAATTGTTTAAGGTGGCTCAGTCATTAATACAGGTGCATTTAACAGTGAAACTTTGCAAAGAATTACAGATAGAGCGGTTTTCACTTGACTGTCGTAAAACCAAAACCAAAGTAAATACACTAGCCAACCAAAGGGCGTAGTAAAACCAAAACCAAACCAATTCCTCAATTACTTTCGACAGTCAAGTGAAAACCGCTCTATTATTCGGCAATAATACAAAATAACAAAACAATGAAATTACCTGTCCTGAAAATTAAAACTGTTGTCGTGGCTATCTCAGGTGGGAATTTGTTATTGAAATTCCACAACAATTTCACTGCTGAATTTTGACCGACTTTTAGTTACAGACTTCAGCTTCAACAATTCTTCTCAAATTTGTGTAGCATATTATTTTATTATGTCAATAAAAGCCGATACCAGAAATTTCAGTAAAAAATATCAGCAATTTCTTTACTAGAAGCAATTTTCTTTGAACAGTGGGGTCCTGTTAAGTGCTAATTTCCCCCCAAAATATTTACCATCAATGAAATCGGAATATTTCATATTACTGCCAAATGATATCTGCGGTTCTTTGCAAAGTTTCACAGCCATTGCGTTGAAAACAAAAAAATTATGACGGAAAGTCAGTCATAGCTCAATGCTCCTGTATTAATGACAGAGCCACCTTTATCCATGACTCCAGTTCACAAATGGCTGAATGATAAGCAGTCTTGTCAAAAAGCTGATGTATGTAATAAGATTGTTTCAGGTTACCACTGGCAGTATTCACTCTTTTCAGATCCGTAGTAAAGAAAT